AAAAATTCCGATAAAGTAATTTGCCTGGGAGCCTTTGCGTTTTTTCAGTATTGGTCACATGACCATGGGCGTGGCCTGATGACGTCATCACTGGTGTTGTTGATCATGAAAAAGTTAAAATTCATGAAATAACTCCGAAGTAACTAAAAATGACGAGGTTATATGAGAATAAATTTTCCCTAGCAACGGCTCGAAAAGATTGGTTAATGGCCCCTTAATTCCTCATCGGACTGACAATTATAATAAGATTCGCCGGAAACTTACGTTAAACATACTTCACTGCTAACTTCATGTCTATATCTTTTCACTTAGTTTGCGAACAATTAAGAGATCTGGGTACCGCACTGTGTATTTTAATTCATGTTCAAGCTCTCCTGACGCTCTGTGTGGAGAATTTTGTTTTTCCAGTTTAATCTTGTACGGTACAATGTAACTGAGTAGGGGATGCCGTTTAATTCAATTAAAATTATCCTGATGCTTGAGTGCCCCTTGATGTTATTATAGACTTGGTTATGGATTTGTTAATAGGGAGTTTAAGAAAACCAAGACGGCAACAGCAACGGGAACGTCACCAAACAAAAGGTTTCGCTGTGCACGTGCGTTATAATTCTTGGTACATTTCTTTGCCGTCCTCTGCAAAACGACAACGCCGGTGAAATGACCAAATTCTACGTTGTCTGAAGAACGTGAACGACGACGGCAACTTTTTTAAAGTTTCTATTTAAAATTTATCGCTGTGTTCCAGATTCAGTTTCGTGATAAATCTGACAGTGAGAAAGAAACAAAAATGACTTTAGAGTATCGCGAGGTTCATAGGTAAAATATAAATTTATTTCTTAATCGAAAATGTCCTCGGCGTCGCCGTCTTGGTTACACTGCGACGGAAAAATTTGAATACGAAAGTTTCACTCTTAAAACGCATCAATTTTTTTTATTTATTTAAACATATGTTATTGTTTCCCAAAAAGCACCTACACTCACCAAGGTGTATTACAATATGACAGTTTTTACTTCCGCCATTCATTATGGCTCACACACAAACACACACACAAACAAGACACAAAAATTGCACTAAAACGAGTTTTTTTCCGTCCACATTACGCCGGAGGAATTTGAAAACGCAACAATCACCGGTCATTTTGGACTTGTGTTTGAGGAAAACTTGGTCAGGGAAATCACATTATTATAGTGATGTCGACTAAAACGCAAAGCCGGCGTTTTCAAGTTTCTTCGGTTTGAACAGAGTTTTTGAAAAGCTCCGTTTTCATGACGGATTAATGCGGACGGTAGGCCTAACCGTAGAAATACAGCTGCATTTCAAATTCCTCCGGTGTAACAATGGGGAAGAACTCTTGAAAATCACAAGCCGAGTTAAAATTCTTGCCCACTTTATTTCCGGAAAATATGACATATTAGTCTAAAACACAGTATTTTTGTCCCCTCCGTTATTATCCCCAAAATCCGAGTAAATTTCTGCCTATTTTGGTGCGTATGCCAAAACAATAATTTATCTGAAACAGTTGGTATTCCAGTCGCGATGATCTTGATCTTCTCCAGCATATCTTTCGTTGCCGGAAAAGCGTTTCTTCATCTACACAAAATAATTGACAATTGCTTCGCATTTCTCCTGTTTTCCTGATATCAGCTTTGGTTCTCCATGTTCCACAATGAAAGCCTGCAACAAACAAACAAACAAACAAACAAACAATTAAATAAACAATAAATACCTGACGTATAGTTTCCCTCCTTGGGTAGGATGCTAGTCAGACGCCAGGTGGCCTATCAAAGTCCGGCTGCCTATACAATTCTCCGGCGGGTAACCATTTATACACCTGGGTGGAGAGAGGCTCTGAGAGAGTAAAGTGTCTTGCCCAAGATAAAAAACACTGACCATGGCCAGCGCTCGTAATCCAAAGTCTAACGCGCAGCGGTAGGCCACCGCATCATCAACAACGAAAATGTGTATTAAAACCAAGTGTTCCAAATTTTCTCGTATACTATGACTGGAAAACTTAATTCCTTATTGCGGAAGCCAGCACCTACAGCCTGGGGGGAGAGGTTGACACATAGCCTGACGCAAAAATAGTTTTACATACCTCAAGTTCTTCTAAAGAAGTTGTTCCTTTCTCGATCTTGGCTCCAATTCCTTCATCAAAACTACTGTAACGCTCCTGGCAGTAAAAAAAACAAAAAAAAAAGAAACAATCATTATCATGATTAAAAACGTGAGCCACGTTACAAAGCATCGGCTATGGTAGAAAAGAGAGGAAAATCGAGGATGTCAGCTACTAAGGGATTTTGAGGGCGCGTCTCTTGAAAATCTTTGAAATCCAGGGGCTGTGAAAGACCAATTTTCAAGCGTACTGGTGTTCCTTCCTTCAAAACGAGGCTATTGATGTGGCAAAGCAATGTCGTTGCGAGGTAACGTGTCACATGTTCTTTGTAACGAAAAAAAAAACTTTATCTTCTCCAGGCGAAATAAAGACAAAAAGAAGCAAAAAAACTGACCTTGACTAAGGAGTCCAAGGTCCCGTCTTCTATGAGCTTGGCAGCATTTTTAAGTCCACGAGCGAATGAATCCATAGCACCTAAAAACACAAAAAAGGAGGTCACTGATAGTGATCTTGAAAATATAGAGACACTAAAATGAGCGGCATCTTGTGTCGGTCATTTAAGTTTAAAATGTTACATTAAAAATTTACATGATACTTACACAGCTGAAGTAATATGTAATATATCAAACACGAGAGACAGAGTTTCATCGGGATATTCAAACACCGAAAACACGAGCCGTAGCGCAGTATTTTTGACGAACTCCAAGATGTTTGGAAATGTGGTCAAACACTGTCTTGAGTGTTTAATATATCTTCTCAATCGAAACTAAAACTAAGGAGAAAATGGAGGAAAAAAATCACGGTCATGATTTCCTTTGTTTGAGAAGTTATTTCGAGCTCCTGTGACTCCAGCTGTTTTGGTATCACTGATTTTTAATGATCAGGGATTGTATTTTGCAGGGCCCCACTGAAAACCACATGTATGTGAAGTGGGCTCCCTGTTGAAAGATCTTTATTATTATTATTATTATTATTATTATTATTATTATTATTATTATTATTATTATTATTATTATTATTATTATTATTATAACCGTAAGCTTACCGATATGAGCGATAAACATGTCTTCCAGGTCAGTGGATTCACGGCGGATTTTACAATCAAAGTTGAGTCCACCTGGCGCAAGACCTCCTTGTTCAATGATCGTCTGCAAAGAAACAGTTAAGGCATTCAGTGAAATAAAAGCAGAAAAAAAGAGCTACGCCCATGAGCTTGTATTAAGAACTAGCTTTTGAAGAAAGCTTTACCTTCTTTTGATTTAAAGTCGCGCATTGTCGAGCTTTCTTTGTGCATGTTTTGTCGTTAGAGTATGCCCAGAGAGAGAGGTGATGTTTTCTTAACGACTGTACTGAACGTGTTTCAGTGTGTGTCATATCGTTATGTTACGGAGTTTTATCATGCGCTATAATCACGCCCGTCCCCTTCACCTCTGAAAATAAACCCACCAAACGCGCAAGCCTGTTGAACAACTTATCATCTGAATTTTGCGTATTTCAATTATTTTCTTCAATAGCAAACATTTAGATTAATAAAAACACTGGCGGGGAATTTCATCGTCCCTCGTTTATTCTACTCTCTTTTACCACCCTTTCACTCGTTTACCCAATAGTTTGAATGCCTGTAAAATGTGCCGGTTGTACAAACTACGAAAAACCTAGGCACGGCCTGCTCACATCTGTTCTTTTGTAGCTCAGTAGATCACATAGGGTCAAATATTTTTCGTTTCTCTTCCTTGTGGTTTCAGTTAATAAACAATCTGGTAAAGACCTTGATTGAAATCACCAACCTTCATAACAAACGTGCAGTTTTTAATGTCCATGGGAAACTGATCCGTGTCCCAGCCCAGATCCGGTGATCCTGTGTTGGAATCAATTGAACCTAAAAAACCAAATCTGAAAACAAAAAAACAAAAAAAAAAACGCGGTGGACACTCAAGAGATAAAATGTGAAATTGAACCAACCATATTACTGTTTGACTTACTAGTAATATTAAGCAGCCTTCTAGACTTTCACAGCTTCTCTGTGAATTCTCTATTTTTCAGCGCACGCGAAGGAAAAAGCGAGCGCGAAGTCCCTGCCTCGTCAAGTCTCCCGTTTTGCGCTGGCATACAGTTCTCTCACGATACTACCCACAAGTTCAACGATAGAATAAAAATACGAGAAAATAGAGGGTTGCGAACAGTCAAGCAGCTTTCCGATGACGTTTAAAAGTAACAGAACGGCTAAAAAAAATGGAAAAACAAAATGAACCAAGAACAAAATCGCGCATGACGTTCTAACCTTTCAAAGGGACGACGCTATCTTTAAAAAAAATTACAAAGGAGGGCCCTGAAGGAGTTAAATTGTACCAGGGATTTGCCTATTTTTTAATTGGAAGAAAGGGAATTTGCTCACTGCCTGCTTGGATTGGGAATCACAAAGAAAACATTTGGGAATGGGACTGGAATTTGGGCAAGAAAATGGCTTCGGAAATGGGATTTGGGCAAAACATTGGCTGGGCAGGACCCTCTAAAAGCCATTTTAGATTTGAATCACTTGACTTCTTAAGAGCTTTTCCATTGGTACATGTTTTCCCGCTGTTTCGTTTACTTGTTTACAACCGCTTTTAACGTTTCTACTCCTGAGCTTTCTTCTACTGGGTTAGACTTACTTGGACGCTACCACAACATCGTGTTCATAGCAGTGCCCAGCCAGAGTGGTGTGATTGGGTTCGATGTTCAGCTGTGAAGAAGATAAAGAGACTTTTATTTGCAAATTGGTTTTTAGTAGAACTTTTATCGCTACCGACGTTCTACTCACCTTTAAGCTTGGCATTCGGACTGTCTGCAGAGAAAGTTTTTTTAACAGAGTGATCAAGGCAGCAAGTAAACATAACGATTTTTACAAACACTGACCTTAAAATCATCCTCCAATCCATACGTCTTCAAAAAAGCGATCACCGTCTGGGCATCTGAAATGCACAAAAGAATGCAATCTAGCTGTCCAACAACTTCTGGGACTGAGATAAGACTGCAGGATACTAAACGTTTTTTACCAGGTCAAATTACTGGGTATTTATCATGCCGGCTGGGGCGAGGTAGTTTTGACACCATTCAGATTATAGGTGGAGTTGTTGTCTCCAATACCGAGGTTCTACAAATCGTCTATGACACTTTTGTGAAAAAAAGGGGGGATTGTAGCAGTAACATATACTTGGAGAAGTGCTAATTGCCTTGAACCGATATCCCGAGGTTTGATTTTGGCCAAACGTTATGCGTAGGAAGACTTTGTTGTTGCTTTGTCCTGGGCAGTTTGTACGATTTTTGACCCTCCTATTTAACTGTAAGAGAGTTTGGTTCAAATTGGTCCACACTTACCATAGTCATATTGGTGTTTGGTTGGCTCTTTTGGTTTGGGCTCAATGAGCAACTGGCCAGTAAATCCTATCTTCCCTTTATAGTCTGAAAATGTGATGACAGCATCAGACAATATCAGAAATAGCTTCAGTCCACAAAATAAAATATAAAAACTAAACAGAATAACAAGATAAAGTATGGCAGGCAATAGCAAAATGGCACAATAGAGCTGTTTGAAAGGAATGCAAACCTACAAAGGTACAGTCAAACGTCTCCTTATGCACACCACGATAATTTATAGACACAGGAGTCAGCATGGCTGAGTGGTTTAGGGCGCTGAAGTTGTAATCTGCAGGTCCCCGACCCGGGTTCAAGGCCTTTACCCTGCCACTAGTGGGATTTGTTTCTCGGTAGTCCTGAGTTCAAATGCTTGGTCACATTTTGTAAATAGCCAACTGGTCTGCCTCCTGTCAGTTGGGATTTTTAACTACGTTACGTTTATTCGAAATATTTGTTTCCTTTGTTTCAGTGGCATGCCTGTAAACTAGCTAAGCTTAGTGCTTGTACAGCTAAGTGCATGGCCACTATAACTAAGATTTACATTTACACCTCTAGCCTAGTTCTTTGGGTCCTTCACTGTCTTGCCTGGTAAGACTGGTGAGAAAATGGCTGATAATGGATCTGGGAACATTTGCTAGGCTGCCTTCTTAGCAAGTGCTTCCAGGTTGTGAGTGGTGATGTCACCACTCACAATAGATCCAGACTACCCTGTGCCGAGAACACCTACAAACTAGCTTGGGACACCAGTCTATATTACATGGTCATGGCTAGTTCACTTGGTAACAGAGAAATGAGGATTCATGCACATGTAAATTATTTAAATCTCTATAATATGGAAACCTTGAATTCTTAATATCATCGCCATACTCTTTAGTATTCATATTATTAAAGAGATTTGACTGTACATATATCCAGCAATTCTGGTGATGTACTATTGTACTCACCTACAACCATCTGGAAAAACCTGCCCATGTGGTCAAGCTCTCTCCGGACATCAGTGTTAAGTAAGGTATGGTAACCCTCACGTCCACCCCAGAAAACTGCAAACAAGATAATTATGATGGAGCATTATTACATCATTTTCATGTGAAGATCAGTTCGACGATCATTCAGTCACTGAATACAGCTTATTAAAATGACTCTCACTCCAGCAACCAATGACAGTTTTACACAATCATTCTCTTTTTGTTATTACCTTCTAGTTGGTATATTGTTCAGGATTTTCACATTTGAAAAGTGAATTTATTTATTTAATAGCTTATTACTAATACTAATTTTTCCAAAAATTGATCAGTGATGGGTTGCAACTGTGATCAACAATGAAAGCATTTCAACTATTCCATAAACCAGAAGTTCATATGGGCATACAAAGTGTCGAGGATAACTTATTAATTAATTTCACTGTCAGACATCATTTGTTGTTCCTACCAAAATTTTCTGCTCCTAGTTTTTTGGCAATCTCCAACCCTTTCTTGACTTGAGCAGCGGCATGAGCAAATGCATGGGCATCAGGGTTAGAAGCTGCTCCATTCATGTACCTGTTAAAAACAGCACTCTGCTAATTACATTAAAATGCACATTGATTGTCAGAGTGAAATATATAAATTACCATATGATAATACCTTGGATTGGCAAAAAGGTTGCATGTTGCCCAAAGTAACTTGACGCCAGTCTTCTCTTGCAGCTCAAGAGCAAGATCAGTGAGCTGATCTAGATTAGCATTTGTCTCTTCCAAGTTTTCTCCTTCAGGGGCGATGTCCCTAAATGCAAAAATAACTTTGAAAAACTTTTCCAAGTCTCAATAAAAAGGTTCCTATACAGTCATCATTTTCTTTGACAACTACCTACTCAACTCTTAACCAGTTTCTCAAACAATTTGCTGCTATACACATGGCTACATGGTGCTGCAAGTTATCCCTAAGAAAACAGTACATTTGTCACAAAGACTCCTGGTCCCCTTCTGCCAAGCTAGAACCCAGACAACATATTGAACCAAAGTCCCACCCAAAAATCATTAGGCCCAGGTTACTACCATATGAAAATGTTGGGATGCTCGTTGTCTCGCTTAGGGTATAAATAAAGGATTCTGGTCTCAGTTAGGGTGTTTTAAGGTACACTTAAAGAAATTGTAATTAACACAAAAAACGCTCTCATTTCTGTTCTTAGGCTCGATTTCTGCCAGTGTTTCGAGTCTGGGCTAGTCTATTAGCATGAACTCCTTGCCTGAACATTAATTGCTGAACATCAGCTGGTAATTGAGCCTATTCTATTTTAAGTGGTATCTTTTAGGGGTCAAATAAAGCTCAAGTCACACCTAGATTGATCTCCTTTACAGGTTTGATTCAAATTTTCCAACGAGCATCCCTGACTTTTTCATATGGGAGACCCCCTGAGTCATTAGGCAACTACACCTTCCACCACCACAATTCAATTCCCACAGTTGTCCCACCTGTATTATAGTGTATGTTACCTGTCATGGAATGTATAATATTTCACACCAAGTTTCTCAAAAAATTCAAATGCTGCTTGAAGTCTTCGTTTTGCATTTTCTAAGCTGTTGCTTCCATCATCCCAGTGTCTTGAAATTGTAGGAAAACCAAATGGGTCAGCACCTAATATCAAACCAAATCAGTAACAAAACAAATTTATAAGTAGTTGTCCACAAAAGTGTTTTCAGCTGTTAATGTGAAGTACTCCTAATTGCAGCTGGTTGGGAACAGTAAGTCAGGTTTTACTGTTCTCAGGAACCAGATACTTCAGAAGATATTCCACCAAGCTTCAATTAGACTATGCAGTTAAATACATTTAAGACACAAAAGCAGAATGGCAAACCTGTGCCCCTGAATGTGTGCCAGAAACAGACTGAGAATCGACACCAGTCTTCCATTGTTTTTCCCATAACCACCTGTTGATTATAACGATATCAAAATTGCATTAACATAAAACTGGCCAGAATTACTATAGCTATCAATGAAAATTTCCCAGGGATACTACTATCTCTTGCTTTTGCTACCTTTGCAAGATCAGCATATCATGATTCTAAAGTTCTTCGCATTGGGAGGTCTTCAGCATGCAGATGAGACATGTGATGTCTATTATCGTAAGACAGTGAACAACCAGTTCCATTCGCTATAAGAAGTTAGCTACGATTTCTATATAACAATAAAGTCACTCTATCCGAAATTATAGTAATTTAAATTTCACTGTTACGGTGTCCTCTATCAATCCTTTTGAGTTCAAAGCCGATAAACAATAAGCCACGCACAGCGCCGCGCATAGCGCCGCGCATTCGCTTGAGTGGGTCCGTGATATATGTAAGTTATCTTCAAAATTATCATTACCTCTTGAGGATTGTAGTGTTTGAAGCAGAGATTATCTCCGGGCCCTGCATCAGGCTTGTATTCAATCTTGCTTATTCCTAGAAGAATGCAAGCAAACATCCAAACTTCAGTCAAATGACACACCCTGTGTAACAAAGCTGCAGTCTCGCAGAACGCACGGGCCCAGATGACAACTTTATATGGACCGCTCAGAAACAAATACTCGATCTGCACGCATTACCTGGAAAAAATTCTCCATCGCTGTCAACTGGCGTGCCGTTGCTGCGCGATCGTCTGGCTTTCTTACTCGGTGGTGCAAAAGACGACATGATTTTGAAATGGGAGACTATAATCCTCGTATAATTGTTCAGAAAACAAAACTTTGGCAGAGATCGTATGATTTTGCAAATTGTGTCAGACATGCGAGGCTTGGTGGGGAGACTGGAATCAGCCTGAGTCCGCAGACTTTCAGCGGCTTCTTCGTTAGATTCAAAATGGAGGACGATTCTCCGGTTATTTATGGCTTAGAGTTAAATGTAAGTAGTCAATTTATTGGTTTACTTTTTGTGTTACAAACAAGTTTTGTTAATAATTTTAAGGGACCCTGCTCTGTATAAAATTTGATTAACGCAGGGATTGTAAAGAATTGTTTGAAATGAAGAGATTTCAGATGTCAGCGGGGTCTGATCTTGATGGATTTTCGGTGTATGACATTTGCAGACTGCAGACTGCAGACTACATTTGGGCCAAAACAGCGTTCTGGTTAGCCTGAATATCACTCAGGTTAGCCTGAATAGCGGTTAGCTCTCGGAAATGGGAATACTCGAGAATACGATGACACGAGTTGAGAAGTTTGCATTCTGCGGTCTGCAGTCTGCAGTCTGTAAATGTCATACACCGATGGATTT